GCTAATTATTCCAGTTTGTGTGGGTTGGTAGGTGTATGTATGAGTATATATAGGTATATATATACAAAAAGAGCGTTAGACCAACGAGAGCCACACTCCATACCAGTAAGTGGCGGTAATGCTACTATTAAGTTTGTTGCCAACCGCCAATAAACACAACAAGAAGAAGAAGAAGAAGCTTCTTCCGTGTAGCTGCTGTGAAATCTCTCTTCTGGTCCACCGAGCGCAAGCTGTCATTTCTGTCCACGATGCGTGGGATTCCCGACGAGTTAACGACGCTGATTTCAGGTAAACTCGTCCATGGGATTATTGTTTTTTTACTTGGTTTTTCTTGGTTAGATTATTTTTTTTTATCGCTTGTTTTTACTCAAGCCGGTTTTGGTAGACCGTTTAGAGAAAAAGAGGAAGCATAATATGAGAATGGATACTTTGGGTGTTTTCAATCTCCATTCCTGCCAAACATCCATCTGCTGAAGCTGTGGGTTCCCACCTGGTGAAGGATCTATGGAAAGCCGTTTGGTCCAATTACTTGTGATTTGTAACACGTAGGAAGCATTTATATTGAATAAATTAGTAGAATATATTTATTTTGCCAAAGCGTATTTCCCTGTCCACATAGGTGACACCACAAGAAGGAACTGAAAGTATTTGTTTAAGGTGAATACAGACTTAAAAATGTATGGTTTTTCTTTTAAAGGACAAAACAGAGTATGTGCTCAAACACCTGGACTATAGATCAGGAGATCAGGGTTTGTTGTCACAATCATATAATCCGAATCAGGGCATATATGAACTTGGACGGAAATGTTAAGTCCAGTGACTTTTGATCTGGTTTTGGATGGTTTTGTTCCAAAAATGATTTTGCATTTCTCTGTACTGGCTCAGATATGATGGGTACGACAATTCAATTCAATTCAGTTTATTTATCTAGCGCCAATTCACAACACATGTCATCTCAAGGCACTTTACAGTTCCCCAGATCTCTGTCACATTTTGAGACAAGCAACACTGATCTCCACTAACCACCCCTTTACCAACCGCTGCACACCAATGATTAACTGGCTGGAGGAATATTATGTTATTCTAAGTCTTGGAGATAATACCAGTTTGACTGCTTTGAAAATATTTGTGGATAACCAATACTTGGCAACTAAATAAGGGCTTCCCATAACACTTATCTGAAAATGAAAGTTGTGCAATATAACGTTGTCTTGTAATGTGTGCTGTTTTTCTGTCCAAAGTTAGTCTGTTCAAAGTTAGTTGCATGAAGAGCGCGTGGACCAAATCATTTCCTCTGCTGCTTCGTTTGAAGTTTCAACTGTTTAAAAATGGAGGGCTCTGAGATACACATTGTCAGATGCAGACCAGTCTCCTGAAGTAACACTGAAATGGCTTTCAAATGCAGTTGTTGATCCTGAGCTTCAAATTCCATTCAGCACCATGATCTACCTATCTCCCCCTAGCTGGGCCATAAAAAGCCACAATCCCCAGAAACTGTTACTAGCTCCAAGAAAACAAATAAAAACAAATAATGATAACCAGGATATGTAAATCCCTTTATTGTGCCACAATGGGGAAATTCACTCTCTGCATTTACACCATCCTCTTAGGGAGCAGTGAGCTGCCATTGTGCAGCGCCCTGGGAGCAGTGTGGGGTTAAGGTTCTTGCTCAGGAACCCAGAGTTCAGGCTGTGGGGATCGAACCGCATACTTGAAACCCTCTCAGATCACAAGTGCAGTCCAACACTACTGAAATAGATAGGGTTAGTTATGAAAGCTATTTAGTGATCCTTTCAACCTAAGTTGTAAAAACAAGAGAAAAAAGCGATTTAAAAAATAAATGCAATAAATAAATAAATTAGTCCTATTATTAGTTCATTCTTGTGTTGTCATGGACACAAGCATCTGCAATACAGCCGAGGTCACGGATTAAAACATTTATAAATTACTGCATGTTGTCCGAAGACAGTGTCTAACTTCACTAGCACCGCTTCTCCTGTTAACATGGTAAAGCTCTCCTGAGCGTCCGTGACCAGGCTACATGTAATACAAATTAGCCAGTGGCAGTCAGAGTCACTGCTGCAAGCCACTTTTAGACACAGCAGGAAAACCTGTGGCAAGGTTGGCGGTGGAAAAAAAGGAGAAGACGATGAGAAAAAGAGAGCAGAGAAAGTGTGGAATGCTGGAAGAACTGCGGTGAACTGGTGAAAGAAAAATTAAATGAATTTCGCAAAGATGATCCTGCACATTTTGAGGATATTTGCCTCAACCTACTGCTTTGTTGCAGCATTCTCCACCATGACCATAATCAAAAATTAATATCCATCCAGGCTCACGCATGAGCACCTTAATATGTGCTTGAGGATGACTTTGTTGACATTCAACCCCAGTTTTAAAAGCCTTGCAGGGCAGCATAAAGCCCACTTCTCTCATTAGGCCATACAAAAGAAAGAAAGAAAAAAAAAAAAAACGTTCAGTTCAGGCGTTTTATAAAATATGTGAATCAGGAAATTGTCTATATACCAAACTGAGCGATTGTTGTTCTCTACTTAAAAAAAAAAACCCATAATTTTTTATTTAAAATACAATGTATAACATGGATGAAAAAACACACATGCATGCATAATTATTCTTAAAGTAACAGATTATAATTAAAAATGTCACAGGACCTTTACTGGTTGTTAATTTTCTTTATTCAGACCTGGCTGATTTTTAATTTGTTACCCCTGCAACACAGCATTATCAGTTGTTTCCTTCAGTTTGCTTTTTTTTTTTAAACCTTGCAATTTGGGAAATCCTGTAGTGGAAATTTAAACCTGAGCTAAATTTTAATTTTTATGATACATTTTTAGTTAGGAAAAAAAACAACATCTGTCACACCAGTCCATAGTTTCTTTTATTGATATTATCTGTTTTCCTTGAGATTTTAATTTCTGCTTTCATTCAAAGGATACTATAGTAAACTTATATCTAAATAAAAACATGATTTCCTTCATTGGGTTTATTAATCTATGTCTAAAGTAAATGTGATACATTCTAAACATTTTATACTTGTCATCTTTTAAAAAAATATAAGATCATCAAAAATAGGAAAAGAAGCAAAGGTGTGTTCAAGAAAACAACAAAAACAAGCAGGACACATAAACTTGCTTTATGCACTTAATGTAATGTACAGAATAAACTGTGATTGAAATAAATGCCAGCCAAGCTGAGAGGGAATCCTATAAGCTATAGCCCCACCCAATCCTGCAGATTTATGCTGCTTTCTGTTGCATCAAGGTGCATCTGTTGTTCATCCACATGATTGCTCACTAGCCCCAGCTGTTCAGCAACATCCTTGTGCTTCCTGTGATGTCATCAACTTATATCCACACAAAGTAGATTTAACACTTTTTGTTTTCCTTCAGTCTACTTTTTGATTACTTGTCACCGGGTCAATGTCCATCTATTTTGTAGCGGATAAAAACACATCAGTGGATTCTATCTTTTTGATGCATCTTCTGGTACTTTGTTTAGATTTGGAACAGTTCCTCTGTGATGGATTAAAAGCTGAAAATTTAAGCAAGAAGGCAAAAGAGCGGAAGGAAGCCTTTATCAAACGAATCAAAGAAGTCAAACTAAGGTATTGCTGCATGCACTGTGCAAACAGTGAAACATCCCCTGCTATCACTATTGTTTAAAATAATCAAGCACTTTAATTATTCATGTTGTAAACTACTAACAGATATTTATTCTCTTACTTACAGCTTTCCCCAAGATTTCAAGGATAAAGGTCAGTATCTGTATTTTTTATCTTTGGATTTCTGTTTCTTTCTTCTTTTGTGACACAAATTGTAAATTACAGCCTTAAAATAGGTAAATGGAGAACTAAACTAAATAGAGCCTTCATTTTTAATTCATGAATGCTTAACAGTTCTCTTTATTCAAATCATCTCTTCATACTTTGGAAAAGGAGAACCTTGCTTTGACAAACTGCCAATATTTGGTAGGTTTACAGAACCACCTCATGCAGTGCATCACAGCTCATGTTTTTGCTACAGTAGGTGGAGATGATTCAGAAGAAGATGAGGAAGTTGACAGCAACAACGACGCTGCCTCTATGCACTCGGAGCGCACGGACAAGGATGAGGAAGGATGTGAAGGTATAAGACACAGCGGCCCTGCCTGCATATCAAATGGACTGGCTGAAAATGGCAGAAAAAGTCACAAAGCCTGCTGTTTTGAGAGACTGATTTTGATTGGCGCAGTGAGGGAGATGTTCTAACTGTAACTTGGCAACATACTTGGGAAGCAATTCAGGGGCACAACTGCTGCCCCTCACTGCCTCCCTTCACCTCCCACCCCCTTGACAGCTAGAGTGTATTTTACTGCTCTCAGCCATAGTCTGGGGACTGAAAATTATGGCCGTGCCTGTAGTTTGTGCAATAACATCCCCTCCAGTAATCCAACATGCTTCTTGATGGCAATCAATGCAATATTTCATACTTACTGTTTAGAGAAAAGTACAAGGGGATTCTTTGTGAGATGGTGATTAGAGGGCTTGGGGGTGGGGGGTTTATGGGTCTTAAGCAGCTGCCACTTTTATGGCTCCTCTTTCACACAAAGCAACTTTGACACAGCATTTGGACATTTGCATTGAAGTTGCATACTGAGAAATAAAACTGGGGTGAGTTGAGCTTTAACGACTTATGCTGTTAATTATTGTCCAATAAACAAATGTGTCATAAGTTTGCCTGAAATTTTCATTGACACCATTTTAAAGGTAAAAGAACAACTTATTTTTTAATACTTTAATGTGTCAACGGGATGATGAGATTTATGATGCATGAATTGTTTCGGTGCAGATTACTTTTTGATATATATATTTTTGGTCTTCTACAGGTGCCCAGCAAGCTGTGGCAGCTCAGGACCTGACATCTGTCTTTAAAGCAGGGTATCTTGAAAAACGCAGGAAGGGTAGGTTCTAACACAGCCTGCAGCAGTCACATAGTACCATGCAATAGTATTATTTGAATTTTGCTTAGTTTTTATCACATTTTGAGCCATGGTATTGGTCTTTTTTTTTTTTTTTTATAGATCTGCATATAGCGGTATATAATTGTAAAGAAAAAGGATGTCTCAAACCTTTTTACCCATTCTTAGTTGCAACATATCTTAAACCCAGTCCAGTTAGGCCGTAGAGCATTTGGGAAGAATCATTTTCAGGTTTACAGTATGGACTTTCACTGGGCCTTTTTTTCACGCATGTATATACTTTGTTGTGAAACCACTGCTTTTATCCAGCCTCTAAGTGTTCATCCAGGTTTATTCTGCTTATTGCTGCATTAGCTCACTTTCTCTGTCCTTCCTTTAATGTTCAATTTCCTTTTCTCCATATTAATCATTGCCTAAACTGTTAAGTTTTGGTTAGTCTGATAAGAGCTTCCTCTTTCATTGTGTCCACTGCATGATTAGGGTTTTCACCAAAAACTGGGTAGAAGTGTGTGAATATTTGTTTAATATTTGATCCTTTTAGATTATTATCTCACCTGAGCTGCAGAGCTTCACAACTCCTCCAAGGTTACTTTAGGCCTCCTGGCTGATTCTGTGATTAATGCTCCTCTTGCCAGGCCTGTCAGTTTAGTTTCCACACGCAATGGATACCGATGATGGATTAATGATTTGTGTGAAGATTTTAAAATTTAGGATAATAATTTATATACTAACCTCCTCAACCAGATTTCTGAAAGATCAAATTGATTTCTTTGCCTTTATGTTGTCTTTTCACCAATATTCTCTAAATAACTTTGAAAGGCCTTAATGGGGTGGCTTTATTTATAATCTGATTCAAGTACACAGGTGGAAATGCTTTCGCCATTAGCTAGCCTGACTAAAATTTTCGTATTTTATGCGTATTCAGTTACAGGTGGCTGAATACAAATGCATGTTGCATTATTTGTCAAAAAAATATTTAGAAACAATTTTTTTGTTTGTTTTCCTGCACTGTTAAAGCGGAGTGCAGGCTCTTGTCCTGCACTCCCTTTATATTGACCAATCGCATAAAATCCCGAAAAATATACAGAAAAGCTGTGCTGCAAAATGACAAAAGTGTAAAGTGTTAAACGTTTTGTAAGGCATTGTATGCTGAAAAAACATATTGTTCCAAAGTTTGGTCTCCTGTTTCACTATTTAACTTTTGCACAAAAATGTGTTTGTTAGAGGGGTTTGTATGATGCAAAACAGCATGTATTATGATCCATGATATATTATAAAATCCTACAGAATACTATAGCATGCAAACAATGTCATGTACATTTTTCTGCAAAAAGGAAACAAAATGCCTCCCCGGATGAAAAGCCTTTCATCCATGACAATTCTATTTCTGTCTACAGATCACAGTTTTTTTGGCACCGAATGGCAGAAGAGGTGGTGCGCTCTGAGCCATAACACCTTCTACTATTATGGCAGTGAGAAAGGTCTGGACTCTGCCAGCAAAGATTTGTTTAGGTTTATATGCGCTATGCAGATGATAAATTCTGGTATTGTTAAAACATTTTTCCAGACAAGCAGCAAAAAGGGGAGTTCAACATCGATGGCTACAATGTCAAAATGAACTACACCTTACGGAAAGACTCGAAGAAGGACTGCTGCTTTGAAATGTCGGCCCCAGACAAGCGGGTCTATCAGGTAAACTTGCCTCACTGATTTTGCTCGGTTAAATCAAACCTGGGTTTCGTTGCACCAACACACACATTTTATATATATATATATATATATATATATATATATATATATATATATATATATATATATATATATATATATATATATATATAGCATTCATCTCTGTAGAACAGTTCAGCTAAATGAGGGTCCTAAATATTCATGTTCCCTTAAGTTGAACGTTTCCTGTTGCATAAATTTAGTACTATTTGTTTATGTTAATTAATGCATCCGGAACTGAATATTGCACAGGCTGCTGTTTTACTTCTTTTCTGGTTTCAGTTTTGTGCGTCATCAACGAAGGAGGCTGAGGAATGGGTGAAGCAAATCGACTTTGTGTTGAAAGGTACATGTTTTCACATTTAAGGATTTTGTTTAAGTGGTTCTCCAACTCTCTTTGTGTTACCATTGCTACCTTACCTTACCTTACCTTATTTTTGCCTTCACCTTAGAGATGAAGGCCAAAATTCCAAGGTGCTTGGAATGCTTTCTCACTGACTGGCCTAAAAAAACAAAATATGGCTGCTTGATGTTTAAAATGCACTGTTGTCACTTTAGGGACTATGTTACCAGGTTGAACACATTTTCAGACTTCTTTAACATTACTTTCAGAAAAGAGACATATCTAGTGACTACTCACAACTTTTATACATTGCTCTTAATTTAAACATGTTAGAAGCAATCTCCGACTAGATGACAAACATAGAAAGTCACTACATTTGTAGTTCTAAACATTTCTGGGGTATCTTTTTACCACCAAGATATAATTCACCTTTCCTATAGTGTGCATTAAACTATATGCCATATTGTTAGAAATGTAAATTAGGTATTGATATAGTGAATTCTTAAGTTGGCTAATGGCTATGTTCCTTCTTGAAGAATTTGCAACATAGAGACGTAGCAATATCTGCTGCAGTAGTTGTAGTTGCATCACTTATGGTTTCTATCTCATAAAATTTTCATGCACATTGTACTGTGTGATCCTTGTTAGTGAACTGGTCCCTTTAGTGTTTGAATGCATACAATTTAATAAAATCCAGTCTACAGGCTGTACTGCTAATACCAGTTAGCATGGTACAGGGCTTATATTTAAGGTTTCCAACTGTCAGCTTCAGTGTTATAATATTGATTTTCTGACTTTAGAGGTATAAAAAAAACAATCCATCAGCAGCTGTTTGGTCACTAAAACTCTCTTTATGTCATCAATTAAAGGTGTGTTTGCCTTGTAAATAATTAACACAATAGTTTTCACCTTAGTATCTAAAGACAAGCCGCATATCACCAATGATGGTTTCAGCACAGTGTGAGAACCTAAGCTCTGTTTCATCTGTAATTTCTAAAATGATTTCCTTATAACCAACATGTCCCAGGAGAAACTGTTATTTATCTTTATCAGCAAATCTAACATTTTTAAAAGATGAGATGCAAGCTAAACGGCGTGTTCTAACCTTTCTTTTGGTTATTTACACGATTAGACATGACGGGTATTATCCCAGAGGAAGAAGAGACAGAGTTTTATGATGATGTTGGAACTGTTGCTCCTATCGAACCTGGTGAAGACATCTATGAAGAGCTGCCAGGTCTGACTACACTCTACCGCACCTGATGATGCTATTTCCCTGTTACAAATGTTGCTGGTCTTTTTATAAATTTTTGTCAGAACATTTGAATCCTAATGATTTACACTGGCTCTGTTTTACCACAGAAGAGGAGATGCCTGCTCCAGTCAAACCTCGCCCACAAGTCACAGCCTCTGCTAAACCTTCTCTTCCTCCTACTCCAGCTGCTTCTCCTGCTCCTCCTACGGGTATTTTCTAAATATAACTGCAACAGAAGTCATTAATTACAGTAGTTGTATAAAAGACTGTGATAAACACATTACATGTTGTCTTTTGAGTGAAATAGAAGTTAAAAAGCTGCAGAAGAAGAAGTGACACTGACAAAGGAAGTTGCTGTGAACAACTGAAAGTCAGCCTAATTACGGAAATAACCTCACTTTTCTTGCTTTACTTCCTTTTACAATAAGTACTGTAGCATGTTAAGGCACCAGAAATACCTTAACATTTTTAGCAGAACAGAAGGGTTAGTAACCAAGGCAAAATAACTACAGTTCAACATTTTTCCTTCCAACTATTCTACTTCTATTATATTCCAATAACTGTGAGTGGTAAAGACATCTTAACAATGAGAATTTTTACTTACCAAAAATAAAAGATATTTTTAAATATATTCATTTTTTTAACCTTTTTAAAGATGCTTTATTTGTCTGACCTGTTTATAGATTTTATACAGGTTTTAAACTCAGGTGTGTTACACACTATTTGGAATTTGGCTACTTTGAACTCTGGACCAATTGGACTTTGTTTCCAAGTTAATTGTTTGTTGTTTTTTTTCCTTTTTTTTTGGTTGAGTATGACCTAGTTGACTGAGAATCTTCCCCAGCATATATTGGAGGATTTTTAAAAAGATTCACCCTGTCCACTTCAAAAAAATAAAATGCACATGCACAACCATGTACCTGCTCCCGAGAGGGAACGACTATTGAAAGTGTGTGAGAGCATGCACGAGCCCATTTCTCCTTGTGAACGCTCTTTTTAAAAGTTGCTTTTCGCACTGCTTACAAGCTTACTTTCCAAAAGATTTGCAATTTTTCCACTATGTCAGACTCGCCACGGTAAGCGAAAATGGGGATGAGCACGTAGGATGGCCTTACACAAACATATCACTATAGAATGATTGACAAATAGGAGGACCAACAATTTTGATAAAAAGAACACCCTCCACCGTACCTTTAAGGAACTCCTTAATGTGATCTTTGCTAACATTTTATGCTTTATACTTTTCATTTAAAAAATATTCAAATACCCATTTGTGTCAAACTGGAATGAAATTATGAAGTGACACAAAATAATCCTGCTCCTCCAAGTAAGATCTAAATCCTAATTCAGTAAAGTGTCAGAAGGTCCCATCCAATTTTTCCAGTCTATCAATCAAAACTTTATGATCAACAGTGTTAAGTCAGAGCTTAAAACCTTGTTAGAAGTATTGTAGACATTCCTATGAATACCTTTAGCTTAATATTACTTTGTGCTATTACAAATTATTCGGCAAACAATGGTTTCAGCAGTTTGCTTTAACCCAGTAAATAAACAATTATATGGTTCTTCTGTATTGGCTTGCTCTGTTATCATACTTTGTGGCTGCTGATTTAACTTAGAAACTTTGATATCACCTTTGTTTTTATTTGCACAGTTGACAAGAGCACAGACTATGCAAATTACTACCAAGGCTTATGGGATTGCACAGGGGACCATCCAGATGAGCTGTCCTTCAAACGTGGAGAGGCGATCTACATCTTGAGCAAGGTATGGATAGAGAAACCTTGAGTGTCGTCGATTACTCCCGTTTTTTTTCCCCCTGTAGAGGATGGAATAAGGAGAATTATTTCAGGACATATGATTAAAAAACATCCGGGTTTGATGTCTGAATGGTTGTGCTTGTTCCTCAGGCTGAGGTGATGCTAAAAGATGGACAAGGCTAGAGGGTTTTTCTCTGGAAGTGATGAGGGTGCAGTTACATGCATCCCAGCAGAAAGTGTTTTAGAGCTGTTGGCACAGTCTGCCTTTAGCTGGCATGAAGCCTCATTCCATTGCTTCCATCCAGACCATTTCAGCGCTCCGTCACTTCTGCCACGCTAGGCGCTGTGCAGCCCCAAGCCCACACACACGTCTCTCATACATCTCTTTCACCTTTCCAAATAGGACTGTGTGTTCTCAGGAAACTCAGACTTTGCATTCAGAGCAGGTGAGGACGTGTAGGGGACGCACAATTTCCGAGGCTTGTCAGCCGACGAAGCCTGGTAGAACTGAGGACCGTTCTTTAACGAAACACTGCAACCAAACAGGAGTCCTTTTGTTCTTGGCTGTTCCGTCTGAGCACCCAAATTGGATTTTGTTGATACATTCCACATTTGGAACAGTGGTCTTGAAATATGAGGTGGAATTTCATACTTTTACAGATGGATGTCAGTCAATGTGGTTTGTTTAAAGAAAACTGTGAAATACGCTCTATCTGGACAGGCTATATATATGTTTTCTAGTTTAATTTCTATGATGCATGAAGTCAACAGGGACACACTGCTGACAGAATGCCAAGTCACTTTTCAAGTTCAAGTCTGCCATCTAGTGGTCAGGAATAGAACTGTTTCATTAACTAAAATAATAGATGGGTTCAGAGTAGTAATTACTGAATAAATATATATTTATGTCAGCCTCGAATCAAAATAAATGACTTAATGAAATACCTTAAATCAAATGATTGAATAGAAATTTATTTCCAAGTTTTTTAAGTGTTAAATACAGTAAATATGTTACATGTGTTCTATTTTATTAACAAAAAATTATATAATCAAAATCAAATTAAAGTATATATATTTTTATAAATCAACCAAGTTAAAAAAAAAATCAGATCAATCTAGATGCACAAAGTAAACACTCATGATAATGTTTATTAACCAAATCCTGGTTTATTGTTCGTAGTTGCTGTGAGGAAAAACACCAAGAATCAAGTTGCCCTTTCATTGCATGGGAGTCCCATTAGCTGAAACCTTGGTGTTGGGGGTTGTGGCCTGCTGAGAGGGCAATGACCATAAAACCTGTCTGGACCTCTGCAGCCAGCTGCAGCTAAAAGCTTGTCCGTCTCCTTCCCTCTTCCACAAGTCTCCTTTTTGTCCCCCTTTGCATTGCTTCCATCCCCCACTGCAGAGTCCAGTAATAGGTGTGGTGTTACAACTACAAGACCCCCCCCAAAGTCAGACCCTAAAAGCAAGGCTAGCTGTGTGAATATAATGCACAGCCCTTTGCTTTCCCTCTAGACACATATGGAAAAAGTAATTTACAAGCATATTTCAAAACTTCTGGTTCTGGAAGCATGTTTTCTCATTTCATCTTCATGAACTGATGCGACTAAAGATTTTCTTCTTGCAATCAAATTATAACAATGTGCTGGTGAGCTTCGGGTGTTTGTGTTAATGTGCTGGTGTTCTCACAGGTTGTGGTGCCATTAGTCATCCACTGCTCCGTCCAGTCATTTCCTTGTTGCGTCCAGCGCCCACTCAGCCGTGACTTATTTGTCAGCCAGCCAACTAAACAATGAGGTGTTGCCTTTTTTCAAAGACTTGAGGCAGGAAGTCATAACACCCCCCCCCCACACACACACACACACAGACACACACACACATACATTCAGTTCATTCAGTCAGCTCTATAATCCTTGTTCAGTAACTATTAAGTGTAATGTGGAACATTTCATGCAATTAATTACAATGCATTTTTTTTGCTTATATATATTATTTGGTAATAAAAGATAATTAAATTATTTCAGATCTATAATCCCGTTAAAACTGTTTGAATTGTACCAATGAAATGCACCCAAAAAATTGCATGAATTTTATATGAATACATTTTTAATATGTGATTCTGAGTGGAAAATAAGTTTAACAGTTTGGAATAAAATGACTAATAACATTATTACTAATTAGGTCATATGTTCTTTAATATTTAAGTAAATAACAAAAATCAAATGTTGTTTTGTGATGGGTGTGAACTAAATTTAATAAAGTTTTGAACCTATTCTTCAAAGGTAGCATGTAAACCTTTTTACAATGAAAGAAAAGATATTTGTAGTTAAGATAATTTTTTATTGTCAATAGATAGCCGCTTAGCTTGCTAACAAACTTGACTTTAGCGTAAGAGCATTTGAAAACATGATGCACCATTCCTTTTTTCAATGGCTGCTGGGCTTTTTTTATCAGCACTATAACAAAAAAAAAAAAGATTTAAAACATTAAAACGAATGTCTTTCTTGTTCTGAAAAACAAACCTTTACATGTGTAAACATTCTGATGGTTTTGAATTTTTAATACACAATAAACATCAATAGAGTTTATTTATTATCTAAAATACCAATATAAACAACTGAGAATAAATTTAACTAATAAGAGTAACCAAACCAACAGAAATTAAATTAAAATTAGTATTAAGGCATAATTTGTCATCAAATTAATAAAATTCATACTGTAAATATAGCTGTTATTCTACAAGACAATTACACGCTAATATGGTCATTCAATGTTAAATGACTCATATTTGCAACCCTGTAAATATTTTTTTTTATAGTATAGTGGTCTATCTTATATCGATCTCTACTAACATATAGCACAAACTTTAAATATTTTATATATATATATATATATATATATATATATATATATATATATATATATATTTTTTTTTTTATATATATATATTTTTTATTTAAAGGAATAATCTTAAATCAGAGTTCTGTCAACTCCATTTCATATTGGTTCTTTACATCTAAAGCAGTGACTTGCAGAATAAGGGGGACCTTGTTCTGGCTCCTGCTTGCCTCTGAATTCTTTCTGTCTTGTCAGGAGCTGAGCTCCAGTCTTGATTCATGTCTGGAAACTCTTTGATGTGAGGTCAGGCTCTTGTCCAAAATGAGAGAGATGGTCTCAGATCTCCTCTCATGCTGTCTTTCTCTCATCTCTGCATGCTGACTGTCATTTGGAGCTGTTTCCTATTGGACCTGGGCAGATTTATGTGCATTGCATATTGATGAAGGCTTTTAATTATTTAACTTTTTGGCATGCATTAAAATGTGTATTTGCAATTTCAAACCTGATACCAGTAATAATGAGAGAGAAGAAAAAAATAAAAAAATAAAAAAAATAAGCTAAACAAAGCAAAAAACAAGCTGTGGATAGTTATTTTTTTTTTTTAATAAGATAGCTTTATGTGTTACAGAAAAAAATGAAAGACCTAGTAAAACCTTGAGATTGCATGATTGCCCTATTGGCGATCAGTGCTGCAAACAATGGTTTAAAATGACAGGAAATGTGTGTATCATTTTTAAGAAGTGATCTCTTACACTTAAAAATATATGCAGGATGTTAAGAGGCAGATAATGGCATAGAAAACTGTTAGACATGAGCAAAAATATATTTTAGGTTCAATGTGGGTAAGAAAAGTTACAGAAAGGCAGTAAAGTGGAACATGGTTGTGGTTGAAACAAAAAAGCGGGTGGAAAAAAAATGATATAATCAGTTATACAACTAAACTTTTTTTCAAGCCATAGAGGCAGAGTGGCTATAAAAAGGATGGAATAATTGAAACGGAGGCTTAAAATAGCCATAAATGGATTCTTTAATCAAATTATTGAGACACAAAAGAGTAATCAAAATTTAATGCAAATCTAGAGCAAAGAAAAGACAGAAACTCTGAAAAATAACACTAAAATCAAGCAAACACGATTAATATTCAAATAGGTCTACAGGTTACATAAGGAGATACTTGATATGTAAAATTAAGCAAAGGGAAACAGAATTTAAGGATGTTAAATAGTCTTTTGGATGGTTTTCTGTGTGGAGCTGCATCAGATCATATTTTTAGCCACTGCCTTTTATTCATCTTTGTGTCAAGGGCCTTTTATTTCAATATTACAACCTGAGACAGACAATTACACAGACACCCTTGGGTATGATTCAGCCCATAATTGCTTCTTTCTTGCTAATGATTAATTAAACAGTTTAAAAAATGTAAGTCAAACCTATAATTCTCGTTTCTGTACCTCTAGGAGTACAGCAACTTTGGCTGGTGGATCGGAGAGAAGAACGGAGCCATCGGCATCGTTCCTAGGGACTACCTGATGGAGCTGTATGCCATGTAAACCTGCATTAGGTTAACTTGCTGACACGTCATGCAACCTCTGCTTGAGCCACTTGTCTGCTGTTGCAATTTTTTTTGGATAAAAAGACTGAAATAAATGCCCTGTTTCATTATCAGTTAGTCTGACAGTTACAAAAATTGTGATTTGACTAAAAAAGTATTTTCTTGCAATTTTTCTATACTTTTCTATTTATTTTCCTTTGATCCTATTTTGAAGTTATTTGTTATACCATTGTAGTGTTGCTTTTTGCAAATATAATAAAAAATTCAAACATCAACATTGTATTTTATGTGTTCTACATTAACTGGTTTTTAAACCACAAGGTGGCATTGTAGTTGCTTAAACGGTCAGAAATTACCATTGTGAAAGGACAAAAATCCTTGCTGGTGGTTTACATGCCACATTAAAAATAATCCACATATTACAAGCCATATACTCACATTATCTGATAAATTGATACAATAAAACTAACCCACCCATTTAAAACAATCAAACACTTCTGGAATGTACAATTTCTTGTTTAAATTGTTAAAACTTTATTGTAATATTTTTTTCTTTTATGTTCAGCATATCTGTCCCACACTTCAGAGATCTTTTATTTAAAGCACCTGGGAGACATTGCTGGGCAGAGGATCACTGCAATGGCAGATGGGAGGTTGTGCCGCCTGCCTGACTGTAACGGCTGAGGTGTACTAATAGGACAGGCAGCCACACAGAAAGCAGGGAAGGTTATCACCCTCTGAGGGGCTGTTGACAGCAGGCGAGGTGGCGTTATCCGAGCAGCGTTCCTCTGAGGTTACATGCATATACTGTACATGTTATTTTTTATGCCAAAAACCAGGCCTGAGTTTTAATGCATTGTGACGATGTGGCCTTGTCAGGGGTTTTCTCAAGGTTGGAGGGGGGGGGGGGGGAAATGGAAAGAGAAAAGCATTCATCAACCAATAACTCACTGTATCTATTTTTCTTTTTTTTTTTTGCTGCCGTCTCTCTGCTTTGTTCCTGTTGAGTGATGAGCCATAGTCCTCTGTCCTCTGGGTGACATTCAAACCAAACATAAATCCTGATTTTTATGGCATAGTGCAGCAATAAAGCTTCCCATCTAATTGGAGATGTAATGAATTACTATAATTACTTATTGAATATACAGCACTGGAAATAGCTTTGTTTTGGGGCAATGCAGAAACCGGATATGACATTAGAAATCATTTTGGGGTTTAAAACAGTTTGTATATTTTAAACAAAGAACATACTGCCTTGCAAAAATATTCACATCCCTCAACCTCCACATACCTTTTCACATTCTGACCACAGAAGTTGGTTAATTTTGTATGCAAGGAAGATCAGTGCAACACAGCACATTATTAAAGTCAGAGCTATCATTTGACAAATGTGGTTTGTATTTGCAGTTAGCCCACCTGTGACAATGCTTTGTAGAACATTTTTAAGCTGCAAAGATAACTGCAGGTCTTTTGGGGTCAAAGATTTGGGCAAATGGAAACGTAAGTATTTATCTTTTCTTCCCCACAAAACAACTACTTTGATTTTAACCATCCTGTTGTAGCTCTGGCTTTATGTTTTTGTTTCTTGTCCTGTTGGGAGGGAATCGTTTACCTCAATCACAAATCTTTTGTGAGCTCTTTTGCAGAAATTAAGATATTATCTCAGACACTTGATTTCAGTCACATTGCATTGTACAAGACTAAGACAGTAAATGTATCTATACAGGCCTTTAAATGGCAGTAATACACCTAAAATGGGTTTGCCGCAATACCAAAGAAAGGAGAGAGATGCAGCTAGCATGTAGATCTATGCAAGATGGTAAAACTAAGAACTTTTTGGACCTAACTTCCCAATTAAAGTTACAATAAAGTTCTGCAAAAATGAACTAGCAAGCTTTCAAGGTCTTAAAAAAAACTGAAATCGTAGAGTGAAATATTTACATGCTTGTACTTCTCGCAATGGAAAATCCAGTGGTGAAATCGTTCAGCCTTACTCTCAGTGACCTGTGGCAAACCGTTTTTTTTTTTTAACTTTATGAAACAATAGCTCAGTTCACTGCCGCACTCTGTAGAAGTGAAGATTTGTGCCCTGTGTGAAAAAGTCATGGTTCTGTAAACCGGTTCCCCCACCTTGACTCAGCTGTGGGTCTCTGCTGGCTCCGCCAGAATCCCTGTGGTGCTTTTGCCGGTTTTCTATAATAATGCTCTCATTGTTTAGCCTGTAGCCTGAAATGGGTTGTCATGTATTAGTAGGTCTGCAGCTGTTCTTTAGTCTTTCCTTTTTCATATAATGACTTAAACAGTGCTCTGCGATGTCTTAAAAGCTTGAGATACAACCTAAATCTGATTCAGACTTCCCTGCAACTTTATCCCTAACCTGCTTGCAGTGCTAATTGGTCTTCATGATGCTGTCTGTTCACCAATGTTCTTCAACAAAACCCTTACAGAACAGCTGGAATTATAGTAAAATTTAATAAGTACCAGATGTTAAGGCCCCAGCCATTGATGAGGACTGATCTATGCGCCTTAGAGAGAAAAAAAAAGACTGGTGCAGTGGTGTCGCAGGTGTTCTGTCAGAACAACATATGCTGACAGATCTTGATACGCTTAGATTTTTATGTACCCTAAATGAATTCAGAGTCACAATGTAAACCACAGCCATTTTAAACATGGAAACAAAATCTAACTACGGTAAAATTAAATTTCTGCACACACGTTTTTTTTTTTGTTTGTTTTTTTTAACTATTAATGTAACTTAGTTTAAATTGATATTGACTAATATGGTTTTAGCTATAGAGGCTTCTTCTCTCAACATCCCAGAAACATCGTCATATGTCATTGTTTCACCCCCAATTAAATTCATTACCTTATCAATATTTATCTTTCACACAGCCACCGGAAACCGAAATGTGGTTCCATCAAACTGCAGGTGACTGGGATATCAGGATTTTACCATTTTATTTATATAAAACCAATTCACAATACATGTCCTCTTGTCATCTCAAGACACTTTACAATAGACAATTCAACTAGATCATACAGTCAGATTGGTTAAACTTAAAACTAGCTGACTGCATCGACGCATTGACTCAAAAGCATTCCTTCACACCAAACATGCATGCAGAGACAGTGGAGAGGAAAACTCCGTTTTAACAGGAAGAAACCTTCAGCAGAACCATGTTCAGTGTGAGCGAAGGGCGACTGGGGTTCAAGGAGACAGAAGCAGACATACAAAAAGAAGAAGAGATACAAAGAATTACTGTTAACTAGGTTGAAACAAAGGGTGAAATGGGAACTGATTGATGTTTTTGTTGGAGTTTGGCCTGTTTTCTTAGGCCCAACTACAATATCTATAAACAAAGATGTTGATGGCAGGAGCACAGCTGATATTTCTGTCCAGGATGGTGTCACACCCAAACAGGAAAAGACAAGATGAAGCCAATATGACAGGAAAATAGCAGAGACAACGAAAGTTTGGGGTTGAACTAAAAAATACAGCAGAATGGGAGATTAGAGACAGAATGAAACAGAATGATGAGAAGTGGTCCCTACATCCTCTAACAGTCTAACCCTATCAGGCTTGGACTGGTAAACTGTGATACCAGGCCCGGTGGGCCAGTCCATACACTTACTCTCTGGCCAAAGCATCTACCTGTGACAGTAAATAACTCCAGGAGCTCAAGAAGTAATACAATATCAACTACTTAAATGACACATGCAGTATATATAGCCCTTCCTTGTCATGCACATCCTTGTGACGGTTGGCATGTGGTGTAATTTTCTATTTCTACAAAATGTAAAATCCTTGCAACATTATAATAAAACTAAAATGACTTCTTGAAACCAAACTACGATGTTCCCCTTATATTTGGCAAATTTATCTTAGAATATTTTCCAAAAATTTGTTGCAGTGCATGATGGGGTTTTGCATCTAAAGGCTAACGTTTCCCATCTTAGGTGCATTGTTGGCAGTTTTTGGAGGTTGTGATTGACGTTAAGCAGTAGTCACTGTCGCATCCATGTTATTGCGGGGGGGTCAAAAACAAAAGGTTTACGCTACTCTCTAATGTTACATGTATGATTTAGAGAAATAAAATGGTTAGCTAATTAATGATACACTTATTAGTAATTGCTGTAATGTATTTCTTCTACACACTCAAACAGCCCAGGTGTTTAAGCTTAGGATTATGTTTTTCAAGTTTCTTGAACAACAGTTTTTCTTCTTTTTTTTTTTTAAACATGTAGAACTGCGGTTGCTTATTGGCATGGAGTTTGCAAACTGTTAATTGGCTACTCTAAATTCTCCTTAGGTGTGAGTGTGTGCTTGAATGGTTGTTTGTCCTGTTTGTCTCTGTGTTGCCCTGTGATAGACTGCCCACCTGCCTAGGGTGTATCCCGCCTGTCACCTGCAGACAGCTGGAGATACCAGAGTACCAGCATCTCTCTCGACCCCCAGCTGGGGTTAAAGCGTGATGGATGGATGTAGAACTGCAACTGGTTATGAGCCAACCAACCTGCTGTCACCACACAGAGCTCATGATTTTCTGGCAAAATCAAACAGATAATAATTTCTCATTGTCCGTCAACGTTAACCTCGTAAAAATATGGATAAATCTATATGAGGTAAATATGTGTACTGTTTAGTCAACTTATGATCTGATTCTACAACGCCTGTACATTCAGACACAGTCAATTAACAATGAGTCAAAACAAGAAAAACAGATGGCTATTTTCTTACATGCAGCACTGTGACAGTGCTATTACAACATGAGATGTAGAGAAAAAGTGTCCATTGTGTCCAGATTGACTGTTCAGTCCAGGACCATCAGCCTGCCTCATTCATTATCGGAAAAGTTACACAGCGTGCCTTAAACAGAGCTACAGCAGAGGAGACAACTTATATAGTAAGAGCTGCTCTGCAGGCAAAGGGAGAGTGAAACTGGTTCAGGTAGTGTACAGAGATAGCTGGAAGCTTGAGCAACATAACACAGAATGAAGTAGGGGGTAAAAGTTGGATGCTGACTGATAAAACCTAATTGTAAGCTCCTGCTCAACCATTATATTTACTCAGCAAGACATCAAGTATCTTTAGGTTCATGATGAGGGACAAAGACCAGAGGGACTATTATCTGAGCTCCAGTTGAGGTTAAATGGCCTGGCCATGAAGTGTAAATACTGTAGTTCTCTCTCTCTGAGTTTCTAGTTGGATTTGCATATTATGTGATAAAATCTGGTCAAAAAGAAAGTGCTTAA